CTATAAAATGTACTCCAATTGTTTTTTAAAATGATAATTACAAATTTTATATGTTTATTATATTTTTAGAAAATATTTACTTATAATTTACTTATATATCAATTATATTAAATGTACATAATGTACAATTCAAATATAATTTACCAGCACCATTTAAAACATAAAATACAAGAATAAAAATATATGAAATTTTATTTTAAATGTTGGCTGTGAATACTTGACAGAAATATTTGAATATGTAGTTTACATTTTAAAATAAATATTGCAAAATACAGTAAGAAGTTATATTTATAATATGTTATTTTTTTTACAATTAATATGTTTTTAAATTAATAACTTATTTTAATTATAAATGAATTATGCTAACTTATAATATCAAATAAGGAATAAAATTTTAGCATATAATATTTAAAATTATCTTTTTCTATATATTTGTGAATTGAACAATATGTAATAATCATTGCAATGTATACATATATATAAAATAATAATATTGTGATACTATGTACACTTATAGTGTTTTAATAAAGTATTTGTAAAAACAAAATGAAAATATATCAAATTTAATTAAATGTAAATTTATGTACATTAAAAATATGTCTAAATATATATATATATTAATATTAATATAATATAATATATAATTATTATATTATATAATTATTTGATTTTTAATAATTCTTTTCATATCATTAGTGACAACAAACATTGGTCCATGACCTGGTATTATAAAATTTGCCAAATTAATTATATAAGATCGCATGTGTGATTGAACTTTTTGTAATTCTTTAGTTCCTAATTCCTTCCAAATGAATGGATTTAGTATATCTTCTTCTTTTTCGAATAAATCACCTATAAAATTTATAACAATGTGGAAATATATATATAAATTATTTATAATCATATTATATTATTTTTAAAAAATAAACCTGTAATAGCAAAACATGTAGGTTTTTCAGAAACTGTAGTTTCAACTAAAACTGTAACATCATCCATTGTATGACCAGGAGTTGCTATAACTTTAACTTCTGGACAAATTTGATATCCTATATATATATATATAATTATAATTTTTATATATTTAATTTTATGCATTTATATAATTTTATTAATATATTAGAAAAATTTTACCATTTTTTAAATCTTTATCGAAAAATAATTCTCCACGATGTACACATGTTCCTATTATATGTTCTGCATTTATAAAAAGATTATTGTTTCCTATATGATCAGCATGGCTATGAGTACAAACAACATAATCAATTTTATCAGGTGTAATATTATGTTTAGTAAGTGCTGAAATAAATTTTTTTATTTAAGTATTTATCATTAAATTGCAAATATAAAAATAAAATAAACAATAATACCTTGTATTATTTTTTCTCGATCCCAAGCTGTCATAGTATCAACAATAATATTCTTGGATGCCTTTATTAATGTACAAGTACAATTTGCTTTCATTGTTCCATCGTCAAGTTTTATAGAGTAACCATCAAATAATACAATTACTTTGCACATTTTTGAAATTAAAATTAAAAAACTTATTTTTTTTAGAATTATATATTATAATGTATATTACATGCTTCGTGTGAATAGATTTATTTCATTTATTATAACAGAAATGCGATAAACACTTGAGAAATATTGCATGAGCATATAGTATATTTAAATTAGCATAGTAACATAGAGGTTATGTATATACCGAATTAAAATATTCGTGATCGCATTTGTATTAAATAAAAGATTAATGAATAGACAAAATTTAAAATGAAATTGGTAATTATAAATAATATTTTATTATAATGTAATTATTTAATATTAATGTAATATATTAATATAATTAAATATTAAATATAATTAATATAAATAATTTTTAATTAATAAAATCATTAAAATAATTTTAGTTTTTAACATTATTCATAATAATTATATTTTAAATATGTTTATACTTATAGTATTGCTTATCAAGTGAACCAACAAAACCATGTTTGGTATTAAGTTTCAAAGGAATTACATTAATGTTAGATTGTGGTTTAAATATGCAGTCTATATTACATTTTATGCCAATGCCTATGGTTCCTAGTATTAAATTTAATTCTTTGCCTTTGTGGCTTCCACGTGATAATCATCAAGATTGGCAAATAGAAGGGGTTTGCATAATCATATATTTCTTTTAAAATTATATATTTCGCATATAAACTTATATTTATGTTAGACATTCAATCTTTTAGGAATTAAAAGAATGTTGTGGTAGAGTATTTGTAGATTCAACACCTGAATTTTCTCCACCTTTAGAAAAAATAATAGACTTTTCAGAAATTGATGCCATTTTAATATCAAATTACACTTGTATGTTGGCTCTACCATTTATAACAGAAGATACTGGCTTCAAAGGTATTATTTATGCTACAGAACCAACATTACAAATTGGACGATTTTTTATGGAAGAATTAGTAGAATTTATTGAACAAACTCCTAAAGCTATATTAGCTAAACATTGGAAGGAAATGCTACATGTATTACCTTCTCCTTTAGCTGATGCTCTTAAACCAAAATCTTGGAAACACATATATTCAATGTCAGCAGTTAATACTGCTTTATCTTATATTCAAACAGTTGGATATGATCAAAAATTGGTAAGTTAGCATAATGTTATTTTAAATTTTTTTATATTTTTTTTATTTCTCATAGGACATATATGGTGCATTAACAGTTACTCCTATAAGTTCTGGGTATTGCTTGGGTAGCAGTAATTGGTTAATTTCATGTGACCATGAAAAGGTTGCATTTGTAAGTGGATCTTCAACATTGACAACACATCCACGTCCTATGGAACAAGCTACTTTAAAACATGCTAATATGTTAATATTAACAGGTTTAACTCAAACACCTACTGCCAATCCAGATACTATGCTTGGAGAACTCTGCATGACTGTTGGTAGAATAAAATTATTTTATTTAATATTAATGATATTAATAATCAATTAAACTTAATATAAATAATTTAATATTTATATTTATATTAAAATTTTATAGCAATGACACTCAGAACTGGAGGATGTGTTCTAATACCATGTTATCCATCTGGAGTTGTATATGATTTATTTGAATGTCTCAGTACTCATTTGGATAAATCTGGTTTTGCACAAGTTCCATTATTTTTTATATCGCCAGTAGCTGAAACTTCTTTAGCATATTCAAATATTTTAGCTGAATGGTATGCTTTATATATTTATGAGTATTGTAAAACTATTTAGATCATATTAAAACTATTAAATTCATATTTTATATTTATTATAGGTTATCAACAAATAAACAAAATAAAGTTTATCTTCCCGAAGAACCATTTCCACATGCTTTTCTTGTTAAAAATGCCAGATTAAAACATTTTACATCTACATATGCTGAAGGTTTTAGTTCTGATTATAGACAACCTTGTGTTGTTTTCTGTGGACATCCCAGTCTTAGATTTGGAGATGCAGTTCATTTTGTTCAATTATGGGGCAATAATCCACAACATACTATAATTTTTACAGGTATGTCATATTATTGCATAATGCATTGCAAAGTGATAAATTTATTATACGTAATTTATAAATTTTATATAATTTTAATAATATAAAAAATAATTCTTTCAGAACCAGATTTTCCATATTTAGATGCTTTAGCACCATTTCAACCATTAGCTATGAAAGCAGTGCATTGTCCAATTGATACATCTCTTAATTTTACTCAAGCTAATAAATTAATTAGAGATTTAAAGCCAGAACATTTAGTTATACCTGAATGTTATACACAACCACCAATAACTGCACCACATAGAACAGATCTTGTCATAGAACCTGTAGGAGTAAGTATATATAATGTCAAATTAGATACAGATTATTCTGATTATGAAATATTAACATATTCATAACATTCATAACATTTATTTTATATTTAAGGAAAAACCTTTAATTACTTTTAAACGAGGTGAAGTTATAAAATTGCCTTTAAAAAGAAAAAAGGGACGAGTATTTATTGAACCAGAACTAGCAGGAAATATAATTCCTAATGAAATTCGACCTGGTTTAAGTCTTGCTTCTGTTACTGGTGAATTGGAAGTTAAAGATAATGTATATACAATAAAAGTATGTATTTTTAAATATTTTAGAAATATATATTTTTAAAAATATATTTTATTAATTAAGAATTATATTTCTAGAGTATTGAAGATAGACCTAGTGGAAAACGTAAAGCACCTTCTGGTTCACCTGCACCAATCAAAGAAGAAGTTCTTAAAGAAAGAAAACATGAATATGGTAATCTGGATCCACAAGAACTATTACAGAAGCTTAATCAAGAAGGCATTCAAGGAGCCAAATTACAACATAGTCCAACTGCTACCAGTATTCATTTAGTAAGATACTTATAAGTTACAAAAAATAATTTTTTATTAAATATAAAATTCATATTTTTTATTGCTTATATTTATAGCAAGATGAAGATACCTTGATTCAAATTGGAGATAATTCAACACATATTTTTTGTAATGGTGATCAAAAAATTAGAAGACGATTAAGAACTATTATTATGCAATGTCTTAAAAGATTTTAAAAAATTTTTTAAAATAAATAATATTATATTATAATTATTTTATATAATTTTATTTTTATAATTATAATTATATTTTTGTAATTAACTTTTTTTGTTTATATAGGATACAAAAGAATAAGTATTTTTGATCAATCATAAATAACATATTTGTCAATATGTATTGTTTTCTATATATATAGAATATAAAACTTAATATATTATAATCTTATCATTTTCATCAAGAAAAGAATTTATGGCGGTAAAATTCTTCTATTTTTCACAAGTCAAAATTTCAAGTTATAATATTTTGTAACAAAGTAAGTATTACATCTTATTAGTATTACATATTACATGTATATATATATTTATATATTAAAAAATCTATATATTAATTATTTTGAATATATTCAAAATATCATCAGTTTTATTTATATTTATACCATAAAATATTTAAATAAATTTTTTAAGAATCTTATTGCAAAACAGAAATAGTATAAAACACTATATCTATTTTAATAAAAAAATATATAACTTAATTATATATAAAACTTATAAAAAATTTGTTTACAATATTCAATAGATTAATATTATCTTTATTTTAATTTATTTATTTATATTAATATTTTTAGCAATTTTCATAAGTTAATATGATGAAGATTATATTAATTACTATATTATATAAATATAATATCTAATAAGATGACTGCATTATTTTTACTGTATTCTGAATGCAAAACAATTATTTCAAAAATAATCAAATATGGGTAAGAAATTTTATATTTATATATATTATTAATGTTAAATCATAAAATGTATTTCATCTCTAATATAATACAAATAATATAATATAGATTAATATAATATAATGCAAAAGTTAGATTATTTTTTCTTTTTATAAAATCAGGTATTTATGGAATATACATATACAAAAAATAACATCAAAATCACAAATACAAAAAAATTAAATTTCATTTACTTTATATATAAACTTTAATATATTGTATTATTGGTATTTTATTGTTTTAAAAATATAAATTAATATTTTGACATTCGGTTTTATTATTGTTCTTAAGACATAAGCACCTGATTTTTTATATGCATTCAGAATACAATATATTTAAATCAATTTACCACTTACAATGCCAAGTGCAAAACCACCTACAAAATAAGAAAGGAAAAAGTGAAATTCTGTAGGTTTAAATGAAGTATCACCAGTTATAGAATGATACCAACGACGTGTACGAGATTCGCCATTTCTTAATAATTGTTCAGCTTTATCTAACTTTTTATCAACGTATCTCTCGACCTGAAACAATAAAATTTTTTTGAAATAAAACAACAAATATTTCAAAATATGAAACAATAAATATTAGAAATATTTCGAAATATAAAACATATTTTATACAAATTTATACAAAATATTGATATTTTTGATTTTCAAAATAAAAATCCTCATATTCAAAAAGAAGTAAAAAAATTTCATGTAAAATTGTAATTGTTATATCTAATTTTTTACAAATATCTACTTTTTACTATAACTTTTTTATTTTTTTATAAAATTATATATATAATAATGTATAAATTTATATATATATTAAAAATAATGGTTATAAGATAAAAACTTCTTAATGCATGTGCATATTTTTAGAAGTGTTAGAATTTAATTACATATACATATATGAGATACAGAGCTACAAAGATTAGCTACAGTAAAGTTATACTTATATATTAAAAATAAAATTCTTAAGCATATAAGGAATAAATAATTTAAATATTAAAAAAATTTGATTCTTAAGTTCTTATGAAAGTGATGAAAATAATACCTAACATATAATGTTAATGCTAAAAGTAACAAATATATAATGTTCACTCATGTTTTTGTAAAAAAACTAATAGTTGCTCATTCAGGATGCTAAACCAATAATAAAACCACCAATGAAACTTGTTGCCACAAGTGAATTGTTTCGACACCATGTTCCTACCTATAAATAATATTAATATTATATTTATATATTAATAAGTATTATAAATCTATGAAATTTGTCTTGTGAATTTAGATATTAAAATTATTAAAATTTTACCTTATCCAAGAATTTTGGTCCTTCACCAGTTACTGTTTCTTCTACTTTATCTGTTATTTTCTCAGCTTTTTTTTGAATTTTATCCCAATTAATTTTAATATATCCTTGATGTGCTGCAATTTGGAGCATTATAATTCCACCACCAACTGCAAATGCAGTAATTTTTCCAATTTTTATTGTTATAAAACCAGTCAACCTATAAAATATTTAAATTAAATCAAATATTTATTTTTTGGTAAGATTAAAGTTTTTATTAAGTATATGAATAATTATATATAAGTAGAAAATTTTTTTAAATAGTTAAAATATCTATTAATTAATAATTAATTTAATTATTTTTTTTAGTTTTTTTTAATGCATTAATCATATTATATAAAATTAAAAGTTTTTATATAATTTTAATATGTATTATACATATATATATAATATTTACCATCCTGATGTTGTACCAATAATAATTTGTTTAGTAGCAGACTTTTTGTTCACATCTCCTAAAATCTTGTCTATCATACTTTCTGCATGCTTTGAAATATTCAATTCTTCTTTGTTTGCATTGTCTTTGTTTTTCTTTGTTATTGGAAGATTCATTTTAACACTGAAAATTATCATTAATATTTTATTACAAAATAAGAATTTTAAAAACGAGTTAAACAATATTAATATATATTTTTAAATACATATTTTTTGCATTATATTTTTTCTTGATATTATTTTCGTTAGCAAATTAATAACGTAAGAATGAATGCTATTTTCACGTCTTGAAATAATAATGTTAACAAATTCTTCAGTTATACGTCAGAACAAAAATATATCGATGACTGCATTGTCAGAAAATTGCAATAGCGAATATTTTGTTAAGTATTGCTTGATAAATTATTTTAAGTCAATTCGTTACATCATAAAACTATAGAGAATATTAAAAATATAAATAAGAATTTTAAAATTATATGAAAAAAAAAATTGTCTACCGTTTAAATAATTTTGTTGCTCCTGACTTGATGGTATTTTTGTATACTTTAGGCATGATATAATTCAAATATATTTTTAAATTATATAATATTTTATAATGGTTAATATTTATATATATATACATATATAAGGCTCACCTAGATTCTTCAATTTCCGAAATATTACTCGATAAAATCAAAATGCCTTTGAGTATAAACGCGAGAGATCAAAATCTCCGGTTTTCTAAAATGATTGTTCGGTTTGAAAAACAGTAAAGACGGTAAAATAGTGAAATTACTGAGGAACCGTCTGTAATATTTCAATAATAATATAAGAATTTTAGAATGGATATATTATTTTGTATATGATAATATTAAATTATAAGAAAACTGAATAAATATTTTAATTTATTAACATAAGATTTTTGCTAAAATAAATTATATAAATTTTCAAAAACATTTTAACATATTGTGATACAATATTCTTGAAAAATTAAAAGCTTTAAATAATAAATTTTATAAAATCTCAATAATTTAAAAAAATTTTTAGAATATCATTTATATGATGAGTATGTATTATATAATATAATATTAACTATTTATTTTCTTATTTTATTTTGATTGTAACATTATATATTTATTATAATAAATAAGACTATTTACATTGTAGGTAATTTTTATTGATTTCAGTTTATTAATTCAGTTTATTTATTCAGTTTATTAAGTTTAAATTATATTTTACATATAATATATTTATTATTATTCTACAAGATATATAGAATAAATTATTCAATTTTTCGCGCTATTCTAGGACGTTTTGAAAAATAATGTTCTCTGGTACCGGAATTATAAGTCGACGTGAGCCATGATAATGGTCTTCCGTCGCGTGATTCGCCATCCTGATTTAACCTGGTTGCCGCTTTTAAAAACTTATCGTCCTGATGAGGTGACAAAGTGTCGAGAGAGTAAATTGTGAAAACTCTCGGATTTTCGTACAAAACAACCGATTCTAAGTGTAAACATGTGTTCTTTCTGTTTTTAATGAGTATATTTATTAAGTACGAAAATGGCTCAGGATACTGATGATATCAATTTGACTCCTCAAGAATTACAAATACTATCTGAGTTAGACAGGTGATTTTAAAGTAAACAAAATCTATTATATCTAGTTTTATTTTGATTTCTTAATTTTTCTTATATCAATTATAGTTTTTTCTGCTATTTTTCAATATATAACCTAAAAGTTTGTTTGACAGAATAGGCGCGTAATTCGATCAATTTATTCGAAAGTATTTGGAATTGACATCTTCTTTTTTATCAAAATACATATAAAATTCAATTAAAATATTAATATATTTTTATGATTTATATAGTAATTGTGATTATAAGTATTATAAAATTTAAAATATTATCATAGAAATTAAAACGTATAAAATATATTAAATATTTACATAATAAATATTAAAAACAAAAATATTTATCTATGAAACATTTATGTGTGTTTTGCTAAAATTTACTAACAACGATATTTTTAATATATGATATTTTTTATATTTATTGTAATTATAATAATTATAATTTTTTAACTAATAAATATACTTTTTCAATATATGTGCAGTCGGCAGTTTGGATTTTTAAAATTAAATTCACCAGAGCAAACAAAAAAAAAGCTTTAGTTGTTCGTGCAATTAAGTATTTAGAAAGAATGTTAGTTCAAGCGCAAGCTGAAAATCAACGTAGAAAAGCAGATAGTACAAAAATGAATCCTGATGAATTAAAGGATGATGATGAAGACAAAGGAATTAGTATTGATCCTAAAACATATTGTAAATTAGGACATTTTCATTTACTTTTAGAAGATTATAGCAAAGGTAAATAATTAATAATTATTTGTGATAAATTTTCATTGATTTCATTTTTAATATACTTATATTTTTTAAAAATTTTAACAGCCATGTCAGCATATCAAAAATTTTATTCCTTAAAAGGAGATTATTGGAAGGATGCTTCATTTTTATATGGTCAAGGACTTGTTTATTATCACTTCAATGCTTTTCAATGGTAAGTGATCTCTTGCATTTAGTAGTATATTATTTCATACTTATTTTTTATTATATGCATGTGTATATAATGTACATATTTTATTATGTATAATAACTCATTCTGCTTCTATTATTATAATTTAAATATAATAAAAATGTAGTTATAAAATAAATATTTTAAATTCTCTTTCAAATATAATATAAAAATATTTTAAAAATATAATTTATTTCTTTGTATTATTATTATTTTTATGATGAAAATGATGAAAAAAAATCAATTTTAATAATTTATTATTATAAAGAAATAATAAAGAATTTAAAATATTTATTTAATTTACATTTTGAAAAAGAAAAATAAAATATGGATAAAAAACTCTACAGAAAAATGTTATCTCGTATGAAACTTGTTCACCTTGAAAAGGGTACGTTGACCCCTTAGACGATGTACACATAGAGTTCATCGTTCTCATCATGCATCCTCTATTTTTTTAATTTCGCGCAAAATCCTGTTGGTAATGTAATTTTATTTTTTGATGTCGATAAGATAGAATATTAAAGTTCGGTAAAGTAGATTGCTTATAGAAGTTACCGAATGAGTTATTAATACACAAATTGGACAATAGATGTCGATGATTTTACTATAAGAAACTGAATGTGCCTACGTGCCGAGTTGGTTCACGGATATGGCGACTAAGAAAATGCGTGGGGGAAATAAAAGACCAAGTAACTTACTACATAAGTATTTATATATTAAGTATTTAGAATGTTGTGTTTTAATGGTCAAAATAATAATTTATGGCTAGTGTATTGTATATATAATTATCGTGCCAAATTATTGCTTTTCTTTCTAAAAATTTCTTTGTTGTTGTATTATGAGTTTTTTGTACATTCTTTGTACATTCTGTCTAATTTTTGAGACAATTGTATCAAAATTATTATGAAAAAATTAATTTGAAAATTCTTTCATAAGTATTTATGTTCAAATTTATTTCACAAACTGTCAATTGCAATAAAACTACTTTAACTTATTAAATTATTTATTCAGGAAATATAATTAACAGTAATTATTTCGAATATTGATATATTTGAATTTCATTGTAAATTGACAGTTGACAATTACAGAATTAAATTTTTTTTCAGTTCTTTGTCAATTTGTTTATAAATAGTCTCATATTAAATATTATTTAATGTTTTATCTATTTAATGCTATGTTTGTTATTTTTAACATTCATGTTAAAGATCAAGTCAAATATTGAATTATCATAATAATAAGATTTTACATTATAAGAATATATCAAAAATGTAACATATTATTTTATAAAATATATATAATGTACAATTCGTGAAGTAGATTAAAATCAATCAAATAATAAAATTAAAAATATATTTTATTATTATTATTATTATTATTATATCGTTTTTTCTTTATCAAAGATATTTTCATACTGTTATACTACATCAAAATCTGGTGTAAATAATATACAAGATATTATTAGTGTTAACTTGACATTTCCTGTCAGACAATCAGTTTTGTAGACGGTTAAGAGTGGGAATATCGATTTCCTGTTCAACCCTCCTTAACTTAGATGGTGCAAGATTCTCGTGAAACGAAACTCATAGTAGACTCCCTTTCGACTTTTCAGCATTTCATTAGAACATGATACCATATAATAATTATCAATGATTCTGATTAATATCATTTCATCACTATTTTTTTCGAATTTTTTCATTCATGCATTTGAATATATACAAATTTTAACTTACAAAAAAAAATTTAAATTAATCACATTCGTATTATTGGAATATTTAAATAAATTTGTAAATTATATATATATTTTTTTCACAAATAATCAAATAATAATAATAATATAAAATAGAAAGTACAATTATTTGTAAGATAGAAAAATGAAATAGTTAAATTATATGTACATAACTTGATATAATATTAGTAGGATTATCTCGTGTTCATAAAAACGAAACTTGCTCGAGCTTCCTTTTTTAAATTAGATTCATTGTTACTATTCATAAAAACTATAATGTACTATATTCATTCAAAAATTAACTTCTATATTTGTATAATTACTAATTTAATATATTCATAAAATTAATTTTAAAAAAATTTATAATATTCATAAAAAAGTTAAAATCTATAATAAAATCTATTATCAAATAGAAAATTTTTAGAAATATATCTTTAAGCGTTATTAAGAATAAAAATGTTTCAAAAAATTACTATATTACTGATAAGATATTAATTCTATCGTCTATTTTGTATTCATATCAATAATACAATCATTTTTTAAAATTTTTTTTTATTTTTTTGCGTTTTTTATTCTAAATTCTATAGAATTTTTTTTCTTTTTTATGTATGTCATTTCACTTATATTGAAAATACAACAATAAATAGTTGTAAAGTAATAGTCAGTAATTAAAGAAACTAAACTAGGTCGCTCGATAGTGTTGCACTGTTGACAATTTTATCTTTTCTTTGGAATGATAAAAATTACATTATGAATCTCATTACATTAAATATAAAAATATATTATATATCAATCATATTATTATATAGTTATTATTGCATGTATATAATTAATATATATTATTTTTTCTTATTGTATTATAATAATACAAATCATAAAGTAATATATTAAGATATTATTATATAAATAAAACATGCGTGAATTATTACAAGTTTTTTCATTTTTCGTGTATTTACAATCAAATATTGAAAAAAAAAATAATATATTAATTACATTCGCGTGATAGGTTAACTCATTGCAACGTGTGGCACCATGCTGCGATTGCGATAATTAAGAGAATAGAATCATGGTTTGTCGATAACAGAAAACTACAAAGAGAAAATGGTTTGGTGCACGCTACTGACCAAAGGATTGACGGTGAAATGAATATTATCGTTTCTATACCGTGAAGTTATTTCTTTGTTACCTCACATCATGTGACTACACAACGGAATATTCACTGTATATATTTATGGTGTATTGAAATAAATTGTAACTTTCTATCTTGATTTAAAAATTTTGGAAAATAATAGTAAAAAAAAAATCAATTTGTTGATATATCGATTTTATTTTCTCATTAATTTTAATGAGTTTGATATATTTTATTAAGGGCATCTTTTCATTATGCATAATCAATTGATTTAGTTTAGTTTTAGTTTTTGATTTATATGCAAAAATATATTTCATAATGTTCTGACATAATCGGTCTATAATCGCATTTTTGTTTATCTCATCAATTTATGC